AAGGTAGAGAAGTATTCTACTATATCATAAAAGACTAAATCTGATGCTTGAGTCACCAATGGCATGATGCATTTAAAGGTGAGCATAGGGCTAATGTTCATATAAAAATCATTCTGCTATTTGTTGCTGGTTAACATTTTTATTCAATCTCATGAGAGAACAAAGAGAATGATTAAGAGCCTAGAAAATAGAATTCATGAGAAAAGGTTAGAGGAATAGGAATTAGTTGGCTCAGAGAAAAAATATATATATGTAGTCATTCAGTGAAATTTCATTATCCAATATCAATTTATTCAAATGATGGCATAATTTAAACTGACAGCTATGTTTCCGATGAATAAATGACCTACTGTTCTTTAAAAAAGAAAAAAATGATAATCAGAAACCATTTAACTTATATTATTTTTAAAAAATTTCTGAACTCTTCTATTTTAGATTTTCAAAGATTTATTTTATATGAAATATTCCAGGCCACACTGCATGCCAGTGGCGGTGGAAATTTAATAGATAGGATCCAAAGGGGTCATGCCTTAACCCTTCTTTGCTCTTAATTTCCTATATTCTAAAAAGGCAAATATAAGCATGCTATTAAAAAAAAAAATCCTATTCCCCAAAATGATAGTGTTTGTTTGTTCATTCAAGAAGTATTTATTGGGGAACTACCACATGCCAGGCTCTGTGCTAAGCATGACGAATATAGAAGTTACAACAGATAAACTATCTGCATTATTGTAAAAAGTTTCAGTGAAATTTCTCCCCTACCAAGCTTAAGGGTGTCTGGAAATCCATTAGAAAGTCATATCCGTAGGTTAAGCCATATTTGAAGTATGCATATTCAGATTTGGGGGGAAGGGAAGCAGCAAATTAAGCTATTATTTGGATTTTTCCACCCCATTATTTTTCAGATGAATATCTATCCAAGAGAAAATGGGATACAGTTCAAATGAGTTTTGAAATATCAAAAAGTAAGATAGAAAATGGTGCTGGGAAACCTGGATGTCCACATACAGAAAAATAAAAATTAACGTTATCTCACCCTTTATACAAGAATAAACTGAAAATGTATTAAAGAAATACAAATGGCCAATAGATCTATGAAAAAAAATGCTCAACATCTGTAATCTAATCATCAGGGAAATGCAAATTAAAACCATAATAAGATATCACTTCACACCTGTTAGATTGTCTATTATCAAAAAGATGAAAGATAAAAAGTGTTGAAGAGGATGTGGAGAAAATGGAACTGTTATGCACTGTTGGTGGTATCATAAATTAGTACAGCCATTTTGGAAAACAGTATGGAAAATAAAATTAGCAGCAGTCCCACTACTGGGTATATACTTAAAATCAGTATACCAAAAAGATATCTGCACTTTCATGCTCATCACAGCATTATTCACAATGGCCGAGCTATGGAAACCACCTAAGTGTTCAAAAAATAAATGAATAAATTAAAAAAAATGTGGTAAAGATACACAATGGAAGCTTTTAACAAAACAGGAACTTCTATGATTTGCAACAGATTCAGCCTAGGGAACATTATGGTAAGTGAAACAAGCCAGGCATAGAGAGATGAATACTGTATGATCTCACTTATTTGTGGAAGCTAAAGAAATGGAACTCTTAGAAGGAGAGAGTAGAACTGTGGTTATCAGAGGCCAGGCAGGGGTGGGGAGCTGTGGTGTGGACAGGAAAAGGTACAAAGTTATAATATGGTTACATCAAAGGAAAAAATTCTAGAGGTCTATTGCAAAGCAAGATAACTATAGTTAACAATATTGTATTGTATATTTCAAAATAATCACAAGAGAGGATTTTAAATGTTTTTACTACAAAGAGATAATAAGTATTTGAGGTGATGGGTATGTTAATTACCCTGAATTGATCATTCCACAATGTTTACATATGTTGAAACATCACATTATACCCTATAAATATATATATATATAATTGTCTATCAATTAAAAATTTAGTTTTTAAAAAAATTATGAACAAAGGATGGATATTTTAAGAACTCAGGGTCTAAAAACATTGGAGCTAGAAAGTTCCTAATGTTTAACTGAGAAATATGAAGTTCACAGAGGTCCATTGACATGCACAAGTTCACAAAGTAAATTAGTAGTAAAATCAAGACTATAATTCTAGTCTTATGTAGATATATATATTTTTAAATACACAGTAATTCTTTAATTTTAACAACTATCCAGTGTGCAAATTTCCATAATTATCTCTTACATTTTCATAACCGTTTAGACAATTGATTCTTAATTTGAGACCTATGAACACTGTGTGTCCATAAACTCTCTGAAATTGTATGCGTGTTTTTCTGAGGAGAGAGCTTATACATTTCTTACAGGTTAGTTTTCAAAGGAGTCTAAAACTTAAAATTTATTAGTCATTTATCTAATATTTAAAAATCATTGAACTAGTTACACTCATTACTTTTCAACTGGTATTATAACATGTTTCAGTTGTCCTGCAGGTGGATATCGGCTTGACAGCTTCTCTATTTTTGTTTCAGCTGATAGATAAATCAGAGTACCAGACCTCTGCAGCCAGGCCCTGTTCCAGCTACTCAGTAAACTTCCTTGTGAATAGTATGCTACATTCGTTGCCTGGCTTTATAAATATTCATGAAGTTCCAAATTATGAACTATATCTGCATAAAGTTTTAGGTCCTAGCTCTGCAAACTTCTAATGGCAGCCAGTTCTAAATGAGGAAAAAGGTGTCTTTGATTCTTATTTCTATCTGATGGTGAGTCTTATGATTTTGCTTTACCAGATCCTACATCGAGTTTTTACTCTTGATGTGGTCTTAGCTCTGTTAAATGCATTGGTAACAGTCAGTTCCAGACAATGTGCAAAGCTGGACAATGCCTTGCTGCAGACAGTAGGTGCCTTGTCTAACAATGGTCAAACCTAATTTCCTGCACCAAGAACTTACACATTAGGAACTTCTGATGCTGCAAGGAGAGAGTGTTCACCATCTCTCTTTCAGGCAGTTGTAATAGTCTCAGGTATATTGACTACTATCTAGTGCTCTTTTCACCATCCATATTAGTTAGTAATTGCATTCAGTTACTAACAGCAGCTCTTGGTACATGGTTGCAAATAACAGAAACCAACAATGATGGCTCAAACACATCAAAGTGTATCCACTCACATAAAATCCAGAGATTAAAATAGTCCATAGCTGCTGTAACAGTTCCCAGATTCCTGCCATTCTGCTTATCCCTTTTTGTTATGCAGCCACAATCTTTAAGATTACTACAAGAAGGTTGCTGGACCTACAGCTATCACATAGTATTTGTTTGTTTGTTTTTGTGACAGAGTCTTGCTCTGTCTCTGGGGCTAGAGTGCAGTGATACTATTATAGTTCACTGCAATCTTAAACTCCTGGACTCAAGGGATCTTCTTTCCTCAGCCTCTTAAGTAGCTCAGACTACGGTGTGCACCACCCCACCTGGCTAAGTTTGTTTTAATATTTTGTAAAGATGAGACTCACTATGTTGACCAGGCTGGCTTTGAACTCCTGGCCTCAACCAATCCTCCCACCTCAGCCTCCCAAAGTTCTAGGATTACATGTGTGAGCCATTGTGCCCAGGTCTCATATAGTCTTTAATCAGGTACATTGACATTAAGTACACTGACATATAATATATTCCGTTTTGTTACTAAGTGCAAAACACATATTGATTAGGCAACTTGTAATCTATACCACTTCATTGTTAGGAGAGAATTTCCAATGGATCTCTAGCATTTCTGCACATCTTGTAGAGATAGGCACTGCCTTTCTTTGCTCTGGACTGGTTTTTCAAAGATGTTTGTATAGCAAATAGTCTTGGAAGCTAGAGATAGTGTTTCCCTTCAGAGCAGAAGCAGATTTGTTTATTGTACAATATAATTTAGGTAATGTTTCTCTCCAGGGCAAAGTTTAGACATACTCATTGCCCATTACAAAGGATTCAGCTTCCTAAACTCAGAATTCCTTTCCTATAACACTACCTATTATGTGTGCAGGCATCCCATGGTCCCATTCATGTCACCCGATGGGTATTGAGGCATAGGGAATTGGCTTAAGAAAATGTTGTTACTCTGTTTAATGGTATTGTTGTGAGTAATGAACTGTCTTTTGTCTCTGACTCAGAAGTCTCATGTCTTCTGCCAACATCCATGGCACTTCAGCAGACTAACTTGTTAGCTTGCAAGTAAAGTAAAATCTCAGACCCTTCACAGTTCTTGACAATCATCCATAACTTGCTTTGAATGATATAACATCTAAGGTGTCTAACTTTAAGGTGTGTAGAATGGAATAGGTGACTAATACATACTTGAATAAATAAACAAGTGAAAAAATGAGAAAAATTCCAAAGGGCCTTTTAACGAGTCAGGCCACTTGATATAAAGTCCCAGCTATACCACTGAGAAGCCTTATTTATCATCTTCAGAAAAATCACTTATACTCTCTAACCTTGGCCTCTTAAATTAGTAGTCTGCATTTACTCCTTCCACTTGCTCAACCTTTGTTTACTCCCTAACCTCCTAATATTTGGCTGTGGGTCCTGTCACTGTTCTTCCAGCATCTCTAGTGACCCACTAACTGGCACAGCCAACTGACCTTTTTCACTCCTTATCTTATTCCCTGCTACTCTATTGACATTTAACCCAAAACTCTTTCTCTCCTTGCCTTCAGTGAAACCTTTTTCTCCTAGTTTCTCCTATACCTCCAGGAAACTATTTCTCTGTCTCTTCTTCCTTCCTTAAATGTTGGTACACCACGAGTTTCTGTCCTCTCCCTAGCTCTCTTCTCACTCTATAGAATAAAGTCTACATTTCAAAAAAAAAAAAACCAGTTTTAATTACTACTACGAGCTGATGATTTTTGAGTCTCTATCTCCAGCCCATATTTCTCTCCTAAGCTCCAAACCTATATTTTTATTATCTCTACCCAGGTGTCCCATGAGAACTTCAAATGAAAACATGCTCAAAGAAAAACTTACTATCTATTTTCACCCCTCTCAAACCTGGTGGACCTGGAATCTCTCTCTTGGTGAATGACATCACCATCCATGATTTTTTCATGTCATAAATATTAACAATTCTATGGCCAACAACATTCCTAACCAGGTTCTTATGGTTATTTCATCAATATCTCTCGGCATCCTTCTCTTCCTTCCCAATGCATCAACATTAATTTAGGCCCTAATTATCTCCCACTCGCCCCTGCCCCCCTTCAAACTGTATCCTCAGAATCAGACCTATTGGATCATAATTCATAATTCCCAAAAAGTCACCAGAATGAATCCCCAAAACAAAAATCTCATGATGCTATTGCCTTGATTAAAATCTTCTGTTTGCTTTTCTCAGTCAGAAGATGAGGAGAAAGTTCAAACTCTTTAGCATGATCTGTGAAACCCTCCTTAACCTATCCACTGCCTGCCTTTTCAGCTTCGTTTCCTATTTCTCTTTAGTTCATAGCCTATGCCTCAGCCATAGCAAACCACACACAGTGTCCAGTATGTGTCCTGTTAATATGGACCTCTGCACCACTAGATACACTGATTTGTCTGCCTACTATTCAACGTGACCTACAAACCCAGCACGGGGAATCCTTTATCCTTCAAATGCTAGCTCAACTTTCTCTGGCCCTGGAAAGTTTACACTTCACTATCAAACTCTCACTCTTACAACTGGTTGATTACTTTCTGCCTGAGGCTTTTCTCCACCTTGAAGAATCTTTTTGTAGCATTTATTATTCTGTACAATACTAACATGTTTACGTGCCTGATTCTAATAACAAAATGCGTCTTATTTACCTTTATATGCCCAATATGGAGCACAAATCCAAGTGTACAGTAGAAAGTCAATGAAAGTATTTTAAGTGATAAGAAAGCTGGAGAATTTGAGTAAAACCAGTAAAAAGGCAGTTGTTGAAGTGGAATGAAAGGAAGAAAGGACAAAAATCTACCTTCTTCATGCTTTGCCTCAAATAAACCCTAGGATGCTCTTAGGCAATGTTCACCCTCCTGGGCTCCAAAATGAGAAATTAAGTTCACCAAGAAGTAATGAATTGGGAATTGCATGTACAAGTGACCTTCATCTCCTAGTCAGTCCAAAGATAAGCCAGTGGGAAAAAGGGCAGCTACCAGGCAATAGTTTGTCCTCAACAACAAACATAAAGAACAAATTGTGACCCTTGGGAAACCTTGCAGTTAAGAAGCACACAGTCCAGCCTAGACTGAGGCTGCATGTGCAGATTAGAAGAAAGTACACTGGGCAAGGGAGAGGGTCAGAAGGCTTAGGTGGGAGTGTCTCTCCTAAACTCACCACTGCTGAGTCCTTGGGCAGCTTCCTTCACCTCTCAAAACCCCTGTTTCCCCATATGTAAAAAGGGGATGACAGTTATACAAACTGCATGGGTTTTCTAAGAGGATTGAAAAAGAAAATGTGTATGGAATGTTTTCAAAGTGCCCAGAACAGGGTAAATGTTCAATAAATGTTAACCATTGTTTATAGGAAAGACAGTATCAATAAGCCAGTTTTCTCTAAGCATCCAATCCATCATTTATAGAAGGAAGTTGGTGTCCTTGAGTTGTGTGAAGATTAAATAGGAAATATACATAAAGGCACTTCCTAATTTAAAACATTATTCACTTGAAAAACTATTTTATCATTATTATTACAAGAAGTTAAGGATCAAAAGCTAGCCAAGAAAAGCAAAACTATATTTGTGGGATTAGCTCAGAACAACAGGGTGATACTTTTATGTATGAGCAGCCTGAAAAAACAGCCTTACACATGGGAAGGAATAAGTACTACTGCTCCGTATTAAGCATATTCTATGGGGCCTGTATGTTTTTTTAATTAATTTATTAGCTAACTTACTAATTTCGCCCAACAATGTGCCTTTCAGATATCAATATTACTGTTATTAAATTATTGTCCTTATTTTAGACTAAGAAATACATACAAATATTAATGTAACTTACAAAACACTCAAATAAGACTCACTTCTTTTCCAGCTATTCTGTAAGAGATGATAGCAACCAAGATTGTGGCTACAATTGTTATTTACTTGGCTCATATATTTCTCCTCCATCCTTACAACTGTGGGATTTTTAAAATCTAGATTTTATCACAAAACTTAGTTTTAAATGACTGAACACACACTGTGGAATAAAATTATAAACAATTACTATAGTATTAAATGGTTACTGTAGTATTAATTGTCAAAAATTTACATAAAAAACAACCTACATGCATGATGTAGCATAACTCTGCTCTTAGTTTCTGGGTCCTCCTTTTTTTTTTTATTTCAGCATATTATGGGGGTACAAATGGTCCTCTTTCATTAAGAAATTGATAGCACCCAGAGTCAGGTATAACTAAGGAAATGTGTCTGTCTAGACTTCTTTTCAATCTTCCTATTCTCTTCACACACATCCTATAGTGCCTGCTTATGTCTTCCATACTCCACAACACTTCCATCTCAGATTGCCTGCACTCAGGCAGTTGCTTCCTTTATTAGAAGTTTTATACTAACTGCAATTAATTCTCAGTCTTGTGATCACTCAGAACTGGAATGTTAGGTGCAGTCTTTTTTATTAATTTTACTACAAATATCCACCTGCCTACTTGATATTTCCACTGGGATAGTCCACAGACAACTTAAATTTCACAAGTTTAAATTTGAACTCATTTTCTTCTTCCCAGTGCAGATTCCCCTCCTGTGTCTTATAATAGTGGGTTAAAAATCTCATACCCAGGATAGCACAGAACAAAGCCAGACTGCTCAAGTTTAATTCCTGGTGCTAATGATCCCGGCTGTATCACCAGGAGTAAATTATTACCTCCTTTGTGTCTCCTTTTCTCATCTGATATTGATATTTTTTAACTCATAGGGTTTATGAAGATTAAATGAATTATCATGTGTAAAATACTCGGGACAACCCCAGGAACATCGCAATTATTAAATATACAGATAGTAACTCATCAGGAAAATCTAACCTGGAAGCCATTCCTACATTCCCACATCCATTTGATCACTTACTAATCTTTCAAATATATATATCCACATCAATGCATCTCCATTTTCATTACCTTTGTTCCAGCCCCATCATGTTTAATCTGAATAGTGTAACAGGCTCCAAAACAGTTCACTCACTTGTTCTTTTATCATGCAACAGAGATATATTCATGCCTTACTTTGGACCTGACAGTAGGAAGTAGTAATGAATGGAACAGCCATGATCTCCTTCTGCTCTTCCTGCCAGCAATCCAAAGCAACCTGACAATATTATTGCCCTGTGGTTCCCACTGCTTTCATGTCAAAGTCAAAATGTCCACCGTGCCATGATCTGATTTATTTACCACCACATCCTGTCTACTCCCCTCCATAAGAACCTCAGCTACAAGCACTTATCTCTTTGCTTTTCACAGAAGGTGCCATGCTCCTTCTTCCCTTTGGGACTCTGCATCTGCATTTCCCCTGGTTTTCCCCCAACCCACCCTACCCACACCTTCTCCTACAGTTAGTTCCTATCAGCTGTGTAGGTTTCGGGAAGAGATCTTCCCTGGTTCCTAGATCTGTGCTCCTGTAACTCATGGAATTCAGTCCTATCATGACACAAAATTGAGTGACATTGCATTTTCTGGTTTATCCATTTGCCTTTCATACTGTAGGGTATATTTTTTAAGGAAACCTTAGCTGATGCAACAAATAAGCCCTGAAACTTCAGTGGCTTAATATAGGGTTATATATACATATATATATAGTATGTAGATCATGTTGTATATATTTTATATATGTATAGTATATATTTTATATATAATGCACTATATATAAAGGTGTATAACAAATATTTTATATTATTATAGTTTATATATGTATTATATATATATATTCAAAAGAACATATTTCACAAGGTTTGGTGTGAGTAGGGTGCATGGATGTGGCTGTATGCCCTAAAGACATACAAACATAATATTTATGTATATTATACATATTTTATATAGCATTGTATATATAAAATATTATATGAAAATATGGGCTGTATACAAATGTTTTATAAAACAGATATACATATAAAATATTTGTATATACCACATATTTACATATAACATATAATCTAATTTATTTATATACAGTATGTATTATAATAAGGCATAATTTTTGCTGATGTCAGCAGTTGAATGTAACTGTTAATTGTCAGCAGGTAGCTGTCCACATGTGATTCAGGCAACCATGGTACTACATTCTCTTGGGAACTGGATTCATCCTGCAAATGAAGAAAGAGAAAGTGGAGATGGCACATAGGTTACTTTGGCTGTTTCCTCCAGAAGTGATGCACAAAACATCTGTGCATTCCACTGGCAAGAACTCAGTTTGTGGCACCTTGTGATTATCAGGGGCGCTGAGAAAAGTTGTCTCTGCTTTAACAGCCCCTGCCCAGCAGCAACTCTCTTCTCTGGAAGGGATGCATATATTTCTGACGGACAATCAGCCATCTCTGCCTTGTTGGTAAAGTCCATGGATTCAGGGATTGTGTCTTTTTTATTGTTTGTTTTCTCTACCTAACATAGGCATAGCTCAGGGGAGGTTCTCAATTAATGAATGTGATATAAATTGATACTTGACCCCTCTGGTTCCAGCTTGCCTTATTCCTAATTACACAGATATGGGGAGGTTGTATAGGCTTCAAATAAATTTTACAATGTGCTGTTCCTTTTTTAAACTTAGAAACAGCATCTCTCAAGTCCTACAGCATGTCAGTTTTCCATCAGCTTTCCTATTCTGAGCACTTTGTGGATCACCTTAAATTACAACAGAAGAAGAGATATCATGTTCTCTTCTGGATGGTGGTAGGAATTTGCTTTTCCACTGGGCAAAATATTGGATTTCCTATTTCCTGTGTGTTACCAGCAAAGATCTTTTTCAGAGACTTCAGCTTTCTGGTGTGTTGGAAATAGGTAAGTAACTGATTAGCTCTTTCATTTCCAATTCAAGGATGTCATTAGAAAATGAAAAGACCTCAAAAA